TTCAGCATGTGATTATGATTTGAAACACGGCTAAAAGTGTTGGTCAAAGAAATTTATAGCCACTCAGTGTCCCGGATAGAGAGGAAAGATGGAAGTGGTGGAGGTGTAGCACTATACGTCAAAGTGTCTTACAATCTGTATGAGCCAGAAATGTAAAAATAAATTTCAAAGGGCCATGCTACAGGCCACCATATTCTCACATTAGTTATATTGCAGTCTCATAAGAACATAAGAATGGTTCTTAACGGGACGAGGCCATTCTGCCATTCTAGCTTGCAGCTAATTGTCATAGGTGCAAACTAGTACATGTATGATCTGGATCATAGAGCTCATTCTGGTTTCTTCGTGAGCAGCCACATGCAAGTCTTTTGAAGAGAAGAAGAGTCTTCTTTGCAACTCAGCCATGAATGCCACATTCATGCAGCAGGCAACGTCGAGTGGTAGTTTATTTTAAAGGCTTAGTATCCTAAGGACGTCAGTTTGTGTTGGAGATCTCCAGCTATCACCTTTGAATTAACAGTTGCCACTAAAACCACTAGCATCACTGTGTTTAGTTCATCTAAAGGCACACTAGTGTCCTCTTCCTGGAAGGGTTGCCACTATTTCAGTAGACTAACATTTCTTAATAATGGCATGTGGTAGTTTAATTTTTTTGTAGATTCTTTTATAGCTGTCCCCCAATTTGTGGAGGTCAATTGCTATTTGCCTGAAGTTGTTTAAAAGCTTTCCAAAATTAACTATGATCATGCTTCTACTACTGAATGCCTTCTGTGTTCCTTCCTTTAACACCTCAGGGTAGCAGAAACCCTTTAGAGGCCTCTGTACCATTCTCCCATTGCATTTCCTTAGAGGAAAACATTATGTAGATATCTTTTGGTGGAACTTAACAGAATACTTAAAAGATGTGAATAAACGTGATCCTTTTGTTTTCTGGAAATTATTATTTATGGCAGATTTAATTTTGCTGTGTGCAATGCTGTTTCAAATACAGTCCCAAGTTTTTAGATTTTTTTAAATTGTTATCCACTCCATAAATCCTTCTGTTGTAGGGTGTTTTTTGGGCCTATTTCATGGGGGTATTCTTATATCTGGGACATTATATAAAAACATACAGGGGGTATCTTCAAAGGAAACAGGATCTTACAAGCCATTTAGCTTGTGGGTACATACTGTAACAATGATTTGTAGCTGAATTGTGCCCATCAATTCAAGAGAGAGATACTGCACATTCCCATTTAATGTTTTATAAATATTTACTTGCCTCCCACGAGCAGTAAGCAATACATCAGTAAACTGTTTGATTGGGAAGTGCGCAGAAAATCGACCAGGTGGCACCCCTTTCGACTGGCCTGTGATTAGTATCACTGAATAGTTATTTCTCGTTTCTTTTAGCATCTCCTTTAAATTCTCCTGGTACCACCTAGTGGACAGGAGGAAAAGCCAGTGGTAGCTTAATAAACAAAAGGTAGTCCCTCTGTAAAGCAATGAAAATGAACATGTGGAATGGGAAAATGTTTTGAAATTAGTCTTTTTCTAAACAAATACATAGATCGTTTGCCATCTAAGTTTTTTCTTACTCAGAAATGTGGTGAGCTGCTTTGGATTATTATATCTGATTGCAGGAACTCTAGATGAGCTACATTCCAGAGAAAACTGCTAAGTGATTTAATGTTTAGTATTAAATATGAAAGATATTGGTCTGAATCTGTAGTTATGAATCTGAAATTCGAATCTTTCATGGATATTGTGACTATATCATGGCTCACGTGTCAAGATATATCTGTTGTATTGTGACCATTGTGTATTACAATAAATATATGACTGAATTATGTGTGATGACTAGGAATATCTGTACCTCAGATATGCACTTTACTTTTTATCCTTTGTTAATTAACAAATGCACTAATTTTATTCATTACAAGCACTAAATCTTAATTTGTAGTACATATTGCCTGATTAAAGTCTTTTCTACATGCCTATACATTCCTAATTATACCATTTTCCATGGCTAGTGGAATTGAAAAAAAGTCTTTTATCTGTCCTATACTTAAGTAATGGTTTCTAGTTTTTATTGATTAGAGATTCTTAGTGCATGCTGCTGTCTTTAATTTTAAAGTGTCTATTCCAAGCCTTTTTATTATGTAGTAAGTGGAAAAAAACAATTGATTTAATAATTTTAATGAAGGCAGCAGCACTTTCTTTCAAGGAGATTGGTTTAGTTCATTCATAGATTCTTTTGTGTAATCTGTGGTAGTAGTGGTTATGTATGTGTGCTCTGGGTTTCTCTCAATGGGGCTATATACATTTATATTTTTTATATATATAAAGTTTTACATGAATACAACACTATTTCAACAACTGGCGAGACTATGCTTAAAAGCACTGTTATTATCTTTTCATTATAATTACTTAATGTGTGCATATGCTTGTTTCCTTTTATGTTCAATTTCTTTAATCCTGTTTTGGCTTATGTATTTCTGAATGACACAGTCAGTTATTACTACAGTCAGTCTAAATCACAGTAGTTCTCTTGTGTAAAGCAAGGCGATTCATGATTAGGAAAACAAGCATAGAGCAAATGAAAGCTAGTGTTTTATTTGTTTTAGAGCGTGAAGTACTTGAAAACAAGCTATAGAAAATAATTGCATATACTATAGATATCTTTACCAATGAAGTGACAAGTTTTACTGCCTTATCCTTTTTTTCTGAACTGTGTTGCAGTCTGATACACTAGATGTCACCTACACTATTTGGATCCAAAAAAAGGAGCGATAAAATGCAAATTCTGCTTGTGTTGCTTTACAAATTAAATGTCAGGACATAAAATATTGGCAGTCTCATTTGCTGGAAGAAGGAGACAAATCCATATTCTTAAATAAAATTCTTATTATACTGCAGTAATCATAGCTGAACAAAGACCAATGATTAACGATAGCAATTTATTGTATCTTGTAGAAGGGAAAGAAGAAGAGACATCATTGTTATCATAATTCATATCATAAATAACACAAGAGAGCCAATCACAAAGCTCTGGTGGTGTCAACCAAATAACCTTTGATAACAATTACCATAGAATGTAGCCACAGAAACCCTAAAGTCATAATGTTATCTTTTCCCTGCTATGGTTATAGAATACAACAGTATTAACATATAGATTAGACTATTTATAATAGTAGATGTCATTCCAGGTCCTCTTGCTTAAAAAGCATTTTTAATGTTTTCATTGTGGAAAAGGGTAGGTGGAATTGTCTTTCTTAGAGATTATGGTATAGCCTTTATGTTTTGTCTCAATTGCAGAGCTATATCATGTTGAAACAGATTTTAGAATCATTCTTAATTGTTTAAAAATACAATGGGAGCTCAATCAAGAAGCTGAGACTTTAAGAATCTGATGCCATCACCGATTAACTTTAACACTAACATATGTATCATGTTCTCCGTTTTGTTCTTGTTTCTTATCTCATAAAAACTTTTGATCTTTCATAAAGATAACAGCTACACATGTCAAAGTACCCTAAGGGTATCCTCGTACTCTTTTCCAACAATGACTTAATCATTGATTCTTCCATGCTCACTTGAATTGTGCTTTTCATTTGAGCTTTGAATAGTAGATATTCTGTTTAAATTAAAAATAGAGATCTGTTCTACGTTTTCCTTTTAAGGTTCAGAATATAAACATTTTCCACTTTAGTTCTCTAAACATGTAGCCCATAGATTATTGAATTGTGACTTCTACATTGAATTCCAGTTATTCCAATTCTTAATAGTTTGAAGGGTGCAGCCTCTGATAAATATCTTGTGTGACTGTAGCAGCTTCAGTGCAAGTTCTTGGCTATATAAAAGACAAGGCAGCACTGAAGTTCAGCAGTGCTATTTCCTGCAGCAATTGTAGATCTCTTTTCCTGATAGTACATTAATGTAGCAAACTGTAGTGTAATTAGCATTTATTGGGGGGCCTGAGGCATAAAGATCTGGTTCTACATAAAACAAACATACTTAACTCCACTTTTGTGCATGTTGAATGCATACTATTTGTACTTTTAAATACATTAAGTATAATATATATAATATTTAAATTAATGTTATCTTTTACTTTATGAACCACTTCTGATATAGTGAAGTAGGTGATACCATGAACTGTTGATTGCTTATCAAAGAAATATGTGTCATTGAAGTGGAAAAACACTGTGACAATATATGTGTTAGCATATTTAATGAGTCTTCTTTCATTAAATTAATTAAGGTATTGCTAGACAAATAGCCTTAATACAATGGTGTGGTGGATAATGTTGCTGCCTCACAGCTTTTGGGTCCTGGGTTTGAGTCCAGCCTGGGGCATCTTCTCTGTGGTGTTTTCATCGTATTCCCACAGCTCCATGGGAAATTTTGATCCAAATTTTCTCCCACTGTTCCATGTTTGAGTACATGTGTATGTGCCTTGTTGTGGTCTGGCATCCAGTGAAGGCTATATCTAGCCTTGTGCCCATTGTCAGCTCACCCTGTATTGCAGTAAGTGGAGATTGAAAAAAGATAGTTTAGGTGGGTAACTGCGTCAGCATGCGTAGGCTGCAAAGGAACAAGTAATAGGTTTATTCCATGCTGAAAAAAGAAGAAAGAGAACACAACGTTTCGGCCGTGGAGCCTTCTTCAGGTGTGACACCTAAAGAAGGCTCCACGGCCGAAACGTTGTGTTCTCTTTCTTCTTTTTTTCAGCATGGAATAAACCTATTACTTGTTCCATTGAAAAAAGATGGTCTTAATATATAACATTAGTGGTTGACCACTTTAATTTTGACCACCAATGAAATTAAACAACTTGTTATGTCCAGATTGATTCAATAATGAATACATTGTTTGACTGTTATAAGAATTGTAATTTTGTATGATAAAAAAAATACTTCAGAAAACACAGAATTAACTGTTCTTTTAGATTATGATCCATATTTTTGTGTGCAGTGTTCATTTTCCCTCTCCATGACTTCTGTATTCATTTATTGCAGAAGAGGAAGAGGAGCAGGTTCTCACAGATGGGGGCACCTCAGCAGAAGCCATGCAGGTTCCTCTTGAAGAGGAAGGAGACCTTGAAGAGGAAGAGACTGTCAACGATGAAAACTTTTTGGGTAAAAGACCCTTGGACAGCCCAGATTCAATGGACATGCCAGTTATGAAGAGACCAAGACTTCCAGGACTCAAATCAGAAAGCCCAGAAGTGGGACTGGAACCAAGGGAGCCCCTTACTTCCATAAACCCACAAAAGGTTCCCCCCATGCCATCTTTAGCCAATGCACATGATAGTTCAGGCTCTCTGCCACTGTCACCTGAGCTGCCAGTCTTAGCACCATCTTCTAAAATGCAGTTGCCTACACCTAAAATCTCTGACACCAAACCAGCTGTCCCTATCAGAAAACCTAAAATAACTTCTCCAGGGCAAAAAACTAAGTCTCCTAAAGGAACAAGCATAGCTCCTGTTTCTGGAAGTCCAATACGATCACCCAAAGCCGTACCTAAAGAAAAGAAATCGCCAGGGCGAACCAAAAGTCCCAAAAGCCCTAAGAGTCCTAAGGTTCAACCAAATGTTTCTCATCCCACTATCAAGCCAGAAACCCCAGTCAGAGCACCTTTAGCAGCTCTGAGTGAAAAAATGGGGAAAGAAAATATTCTCTCAAAGCAAGGGCAAGGGATGCCTGAGTCAGAAAAACAAATACCTGACGCACAGTTTAAGAAACTCTCCATTCCTGATAATACTATTGACGACTCCATTGATGCAGTCATTGCTAGAGCATGTGCGGAGCCTGACCCATTTGCGTTTTCTTCTGGATCAGAATCAGAAGGTGAGATCTTTCAAAGTCCAAGGAGACTTACAATTTCAGAACCAGCAACTCCCAAGTTGCCGCCAAGTGCAAATAGCTTTGGCAGGGATACTTCAACACCAGTTCCTCCTCCTGTCGGAACCTCCGGTTCAGATAATTCATGGACAATGGATGATTCAATTAATGAGGTTCTAAGAAAAGTAAACCTGGCTACTCCTTCTAGTGCACCCCCTAATCCTCCGTACATGTCATCCCCATCTGCTTCACCACCAACTCCAGAACCTCTTCTCAAGGTCTATGAGGAGAAAAATAAGCTAGCAGCTTCTGTAGATGTTAAGAAAAAGCTGAAGAAAGAACTGAAGACTAAGATGAAGAAGAAGGAAAAGGATAAGCAGAAAGAAAAGGAGAAGGAGAGAGACAAAGACAAGAGCAAGGAGAAAAACAGAGAGAAGAACAAGGAAAAAGAAAAGGAGAAAGAATTCATTAAGGAGGCCAAGCTGCAGTGGAAGGACTTCACCAAGGAAGAGGATCGAGAACAGTTCAAGGCCAAGGAGTATGAAGAGCTAGACATTAAGGTGAAGTCCAAAGATGGCAGCTCAAAGAAGGAGAAGGACAAGCACAAAGATAAGAAGAAAGACAAAGAGAGGACTAAAAAGGATAAAGAGAAAAAAGACAAGGGCAAAGACAAAGCAAAGGAGGAAAAACAGAAGACCCTCTCTACACCTGTTATTGTACCACTCAAGGAGGCCCCTTTGACACTGTTTGCCCCCCCCACTGGCCTGAGGATTCCTCCCATGTTGCCTTCCCTGCCACCCATCCTCTCTGACAAACTCTTCGAAGAGAAGGAGAAGCCTACCAAGGAGAAGGAGAAGAAGAAGGACAAAAAGGAGAAAAAGAAAAAGAAGGACAAAGATAAAGAAAAAGAGAAGGAGAAAGAGAAGGAGAAGGCCAAGGACAAAGAGGAGAAAAAGAAGGAGAAGGAGAAGAAAGACAAGGAGAAAGAGAAGGAGAAGGAAAAGCACAAGCATGAAAAAGTGAGTTTTATTTTTATTATATTTTTAAAAAGTGGTAATAATGCACTACAAATACATTGTATTGGTGTTTTTGTGCTAAACATAAAGGCAGAATTAGGCCATATTTAGGTGTGTGGTATACTAAACATAAGGTACAGTCATGTGAAAAAGAAAGGACACCCTCTTTCAGTCAATGGTTTTACATATCAGGGCATAAATAACAATCGTCTGGTCCTCACCAACTTCTGTATTTAGACAAATCTAGCCTCAGATAACAGACAACACATAACAGATTTCACTGTGTCTTTATTTATTCAACAAAAAGTAAACCAAAATGCAGAAACCATGTGGAAAAAATAGTACACCCTTACTGCTTCCATAGGAATTAAGAAGGTAATTAGCAGCCCGGTGCTGCTAATCAAATGCATTAGTTGATTAGTTGATCATCAGGAAGTGTGACCACCTCTATAAAAGCAGAAGTTTTGGCAGTTTGGTGATCTTGAGCATTCAGGTGTGTTAACACCATGCAAAGGAGAAAAGACATCAGCAATGAACTCAGAAGAGCAATTGTTGCTGCTCATCAATCTGGGAAGGGTTATGAGGCCATTTCCAAACAATCTGAAATCCATCATTCTACAGTGAGAAGGATTATTTACAAATAGAGAACATTC